GGCCAACGGCTTCTGACCAGCACACCTTGGTCAATCGTCGGTCTTGGTCGTTGCCTTGGGTGAGGTGGCACGTCGGCGAGTTTCCAGCGTTGCCTCGCTCACCCCTTCGTTCCTCCACGCCCCTTGTGTGCTATCCTCGATGTCATGCTCTCTTCGACTCTTCCTCCGCTTGTTCACCCCGTCGCCGCCGCCGTCTTGACTGCTGCTCGCTATCTTTCGCCGCCGCTTCGGATATCTTTACCAGTACTGCGTACCCTCCTTGCGTCGTCCGTCCTCGATCCTGTTCCTGTTGTAGTCCTTGCTGCTGGGTCGTCTCTCCTTGAAGCTCTGTTGGTCCTTGGAAGCATCCTGGCACTCAGAGCCTTGGCCACAGTTGCTGCGTGTCGCTCGTTGCCCTTTGACGATGGTCATCACGTACACTAGCTGCTTCGTGCACGTGACTGGTACTCGCTAATAGCCTTCTCAGCGCAGCCTTCTCAGCAACAGATGCCACTTTGCGCCACTAGAAATCGACTCGGTGCTTACTATGGCCTAGCTCAACTCCTCGGAGCCCAACACTGCACCTCCGATGTAGTGAAACGTCGTCCGCACTGCGGTTTGTCAATGGAGTAAGGAGCAATACTACCACGCGTAGAGCAGGCGCGAGCCATTGCAGCCAACTGCAACCCATTGGGGCGTACCCAAGCCTTGCCGATGGCGCCCACGCGGCGGTACACCAGCTCTGAGCCGCGAGCCGCTCAGTGACGTTGGCCCCGGTCCTGCAGCTACTGCTTCGTGTGGTGGTGAAGTCAAGCGCAAACTCTGAAGTGGCGACTGTAGATCCATTAACGTACAGAGGGTGGCGCCTTAGAGAGACACCTGATATATTCATCATAGACGGGGATTTTAGTATTGGGGGTTAGGGTATAGAGAATTAGTATGCAATCCTATGAATCGATAGTAGTTATTAGAGGTGATCAGTTATATGCCGTCCCTCTAAGGCGCCACCTTCTGTACACGATCGCGCGTCGGATTCTTCAAAGCAGCCTGGCCATGTTGAATATGTAGTCCGTCAAAGTGGCGCACACATATAGCCCGAAGGCCTTCCATGCCAGGCACCCTCGACGAAGTTATGTGGCTAGAAGGTATTGAGTCGGTAAACATGCCCCCATGGCAAGTACAAACATTATATTATTTGATTTATAAGTTGCCTAACTGCCTACCACTAAGCTACGATAACGCGATCTTCTTCAACACGATCGTGTTACCATAATTCGGTAACACGGCAATCTTACCGAGTTATGGTAACACGGTCGTCTCAATAAGTAATGATAACACGGCTATGGCTGCACGGTCGCCTAGCCGAGTTATGCACATAAGCACGCCCTATGCAGATAGTGGTGCATGATCGATAGGAGGCATAGGCATGTTCGTCGAGCGGGTCATACGCCAGTATGATCATACGGCGCGCTCTGATAGCGTCTGAACCATATTAATTAGGACGGATAGACAACGCCAATGGGAGTATGGAAACTTAAAACAAGTCATGTTGAATGACCCGGTCCAGTTAGTTCGCAAAACCCTGCATTCAGGCATGTAATACGCTGGCTTGTGGCATGTCTGTAATGTGCTCTGACACACGCACCGAATGTTATAAGGGGCCACAGGAAAATGTAATACAATCGAACAACATAATTCGCAGTTCGTTTAGAACTGTCGTTACATGCAAGTTTTTGTCAGATACCGGTACAAATCAATTTGGAGTGATCGGCCAGCTGACTCTAATTATTTATGGAATTCCATTTGATACTAGAACCAAGTGTATAGAGTACTAACCAGGTGGTCCACACAAACTTACCATCCAACTTGAAGTTTGTGGCCTAACAATCGACAACTCGGCCACGAGCTTGAAGTTTGTGGTCTAACAATCGACAGCTCGGACATCACTGTGGCTTGGAAGGAGCGAGATTGATCGACCTCATTTCCGATTATTCTCGTTGGGGTAAGCGTCATGACTAGAAACCGCAGCCATTGCCACGGTGATGACAGCGGTACCACTGTGTCTCGTCTCGCGGTGAGGAAGACTTGATGCAGCATCTTAGCAGCGGCCAGAGGAAGCATGGAGTCGAGGCGTAACAGTTATGCATTGTGTGGTGAGGATACATGGGGCGCTGGCAGTGGTAAATGAAGGGACGTAAAATTCTGGAGGTTTACGTGTTAATGCTCTTGGTATTGCTAGGAGGAGACGGAGGAGGAGGAGGAGCTTAAGCTCTAATACTGGGATCAACTGTGCCACACAAGGTAACCATTACGAACGGGGTGCTGGTCGAGTTGTTGAGTGCAATGAAATTAACTGTTCTCGCATTTCACGTGACGAACAGTTCGGTTGCTGCTTTTGCAGCAAGAGGGCCAGCAGAGCTAAACGTCAGTGTTTATCCCCCGCACGATTTCCCTCTCGTGACGATACGTACACGGTTGAAGATAATCAATCTACTGCTGTTGCCAGTCTTCCCGGCGTGGTGAGTAGCCGTGATGGTGGTATTGACCCTGGCACTAGTGCAGGTATTTGTGAAATCGAGACGATGCCCACACGATGACTTCGATACTAGAACTATTGCATCAAGGTCTCGTCCAGGGCTGGTAAAACCTGATACTTGGTTTAAACCAATATAACCTAATTTTTATGTCTACAGAAAGCGTTGTCGCTGATTTAATGACTACTATCGCTGTTTTCATGTAGTTGCCTATGCAAGGCGCATTTACAGCTTGTTGTGGAAGGATTCACGAAACAAGGAAATAGTTTTGATGCCGAAGAGCTCTGGAATGCTTGTCCATCCTCTTTCCTACGTTGATAGGCTTTGTACGGGCTTGGCGCAACATTGACGCTGCTATTTGTTGGATTATGCTGTTCTTCAGGGTACATAATATGCCCCACGTAGGAACTTATTTTATTCTCATTCAGTGGGGCGGCTTTTCTCGTCGGGATTTCATGCAATCCGGTGGCTTTTCGTACCGTAAATCAGATTTGTCCTTCTTTCATTCTCGGGTCAGCTACAGTTGCTACTTCGCCTTCACGGCGACACCCAAACTGGTACTTACTGGAGCTCTACGCTGGAAGCGTACCTGATCGGCAATCCAGGCTGCATCTCAATAACTTAAATACCTGTTAATTACACGCACCGGTCCTCTGCCTTCGGCGTTGGATTCCTTGGCATATTCCAGAAAGGATCGTTGCGGAGGATGGTAAAAACTATAAAATGCTTTGCTTAAAGTGTACTATGACCTAACAAACGGCACACACGACACGCTTTTAATGCTCTTACATATCACCCGATCTTGATGAAGATTTCTAGCCTTACTGTAATGATCTGCACGTGCAAGAGCAGAACACAACCACATCATCAGTTGAGTCCGCACGCAGAGAGCCCAAGTCGTCGTCTGCATACTCACCGGTTGCGCAAGCTCCTGCTCCGGCACGCCTCAGCCAACCACTTCATGTTTAGGACCGAGCGCCATGAGGGCGCCCTCGGGTAGATGGATAGCAGCAAACAGACAAAGACATCAATTCAGTTTCCATTTTACTCGCAACACAACAAGCACAACCAGAACCTTACACTTGGTAGCAGTTGCGCCTCCAGCGCGCGCTTCCGTCCAGTTCCAGTTCCGGTCTCTGTTCGAGTTCCAGTTCCAGATCCAGTCCAGCCCTGCCACGCGTCGCTAGTGTGCACGCCGTCCAGCCTAGTCCATCCCGCGTTGTCGTTGCGCACGCCGTCTTCCTCGCCTACGTTCTTCGATGCGCCGCACCTATACCTCTCGCCGTTCAGCTTCTCCGGGTGCGCCGAGTGCGTTGCCTCGTCCGCAGCTTCGTTTCGCTCGTCGCCGACGGGACCTCCATTTTCGCCGGGCTCGCTCCTTTTCTTTCTGGGGGAGGAGTGGCGACGCGCATTGTCACTCGTCACTTCGTGTCGACATCTCATTGGTGCATTTAGCCCAATCACTCCCGCGTGTCCATACGCGGCACCCACCTCGACCTTCCGCTTGTCGCCTCGGCTGTCACTTGCAAACAGTGCGCAGCCGAGTGTAACATCCGCGTCTGTGGCCGTTACGAGTCTAGTAGTAGGAGTCTTTGTGCTCCGAGGCGGGCTCGAGCTAGCGCCGGACGGAATTGCACCAGTTGCTTCCTTCGGGACGCTGGAGCAAGTGGTTGGTACTTGTTGGAAACAGAGCTCCAGGACGAGCTTCTGTGACTTCGTTGGGGCTTACAGACATTGTCGGAAGCAGCGCTCCTGGGAGTGCCTGCGACTTCAAATTTTGATTGATTTGGCTGAGGGGCTTGCGCGCCCCAGCCATCTATTGACGACGTGTCTAGCGTAGGCGCAAACATGGATGAAGCAGCGATGCAGCACGCGGACAGCGTGCAGCAGATGTTCGCCTCGCTCGCGGCGATGATGCGCGAGCAGCAGCAGTTCATGGCACAGACAGCCGAGCTGCAGCGCCAGATGGCGGCGACACTGCAACAGCAACAGCAGCAGCAATCCACCTCGCAGCAGCAGCAACCGTCGGTGGCCGACTCTTCGTCGCCAGACACGCGCGAGTACCGGGCCGAGGGCATCACCATGCCGATGTTCTCCGGCACCAAGGACGACGACGTCGCGGACTACCTCTTCAGCGCCAAGCTCTACTTTGAGTCGAAGAACATCAAGTACGGCGCCGACTCGCCGCAGCAGCGCCACTTGTCGCTCTTGGTGGCAAACTTGAAGGGACCAGCAGCGGCTTGGTACCGCGAGTTCGTCTCCCACGACGGAAACTTCCTGCACTCGGTCACGCAGTTCGAGGAGCTGCTGACCAGCGAGTTCACGACACCCGATCGGCAAGAGCACCTGCGTGACCAGCTCCTACGCCTGCGCCAGAACAACTTCACCTGTCTTGAAGATTACGTATCGGCCTTCCGGCACATCATCTGCAAGGTAGAGGAGATGAGCGACATCGACAAGGTCATGCATTTCCAGAAGGGGTTGGTCGTAGAGATCAAACAAGAGGTGAAGCTGCGCCAGTTCAGGAACACGACAGACGCAAATTCGTTTGCACTCATGTACGACCGCACGCACGCTGTAGGATCGCGTCGAACCAACGTGAACCGCGGTGGCCAAGGGCCACAACGCCTTCAGCAGTCGTCACATCACGTCGAGGAGCCGACCCCAATGGAGATCGGGAGTTCGCGCTTCGTCTCTCACGAAGAGTGTCTGCGAAGTAATCTTTGCTTTTACTGCAAGGAGCCCGGACACCGCCTGGCTACGTGTCCTAAGCGGCCAGCGCGTAACAACCCCCGAGGCTCGTCTCGTCCTCCACAAGGGCGCGGTTCTTTCCGCGCAAACGAGGGCTCGTTTCGCCGCATTGTTGAAGACGACGACGATGACGACGCCTACGCAGACAACCGCGACGACCACGTCGAGGTCATCGACAGTTTGCAGCTGAACATGGTGTCTCTCGACGCGAAGTTGTCGCCCAATCGTGAACTGTTGAGGTTCGAGGGAGCGATGAGCGGCCAGGCAGTGCGAGTCTTGATCGACAGTGGTGCAGAGCGCAACACTGTGCGTCCGGGTCTCGCGCAGCACTACGTTGAGGCCACCAAGGCCACGGCCGAGCGCTTTGATGGCACGACAACCCCGGCGCGTACCGCACAGCAATGTTTGGAGACTGTCTGCTTTGATGGCAGAGTCTTCAACGATCTTTCTCTCATTGATGTGAGGTATCTTCAAACCAAGACGTGATTCTCGGTCACCTGTGGTTAGTGCAGTTCAACC